GGGAAACATGTGGCTGATTATATGAAGGAGGTATATTCCAGTATTTTTGTTTAACATATTAACTCACGAGAAAATGTTCGTACATTTATCATCTAGTATTAATTATTTTTTGATGAGTAGTCTAAAACATTCAATACAACCATTAAAAAGTAACACCCATCGTCGGGTATCGAACTCCCGATCGCCTATTGCCCGCACCTTATCAAAAATATAAGGCGCTTTAGTCAACTAGGCTATAACGGGTCGACGTGATACAGAGTAAAAATAGCATACAAAAGACTCGGGCAATGGGCGGGACTTATCACAAGAGACCTTGACGCTTTGAACGTTGCTTTAAGCGCATTGCTGTAGGAGCCATGGTTCGCACTGTTTTAATGTGTCTCGAGGTTCATCCCAGCATGCATTCGCGATCGCGGCAGTTGAGCTAAGGCAATAATTGCGTATCCATGAATTAAATCAATCACTCGAGGTCTGATTTTGACTTATTTGTCCATAACGAGTCCTCCAGAGCAATTTTCCACCTTGTACGATGGTTATTATGTCTTTATTTCTGTTTGTAAAATTTGAGGTGGGATAATGGCGGCTTCTCAAGAGCACCGAGGTAGGCGATCTTTTGCACCAACGAACAGAAAACTGATGGCGAAAAATAACCAATCAGAACCTCCCAAAAAAAAGAATTTGCCCAAAATCGGAACTTCGTGGTTCTGCGCAGATTTACCAGTCAGACACGACATCTCAAGGTGGAAAAAAACTCGCTGAAAGCGAATTTTAGAAATCAACACAACTTGACGTAGAGACATGATTGGCTAAAAAATACAACGGTTTTTGATACATCGGAAAATCAACCAAAAATCGAAGACTGGGCGAAACGCTCAAGGTCGCAATGGTATAGGGAATCCCATAGCGATAGCAACGGAACGATTGTAATATCATGGGGAACTCCGTTCCCATGACAATATGAACACCGATCAACGTATCACATTAACGAGCATAATCACAAACTGCACGGACAGTAGCCGCACAATCTCCGTAAACAGACTGACGATGAAAAACGGACTTTCCTGCTCCTACTATCCCAAGTAGCATTTTTCAACGGAAAAATTGCGATTTATTGCGATTTCTTCGGCGATAAAATCGCTAGCATCATCTGAACGATTATCCTCGATCTTGTTGCAATATAATTGCGATTTTATTGCCCGGCAATTTATCGCGATATTATCGAAACAAAAATCGCGATACATGACGATTTAATCTCAATTTTATCGACGAACATTGATCGCGATTTTATCGAACGAAAAATTGCGGTGCATAGCGATTTAATCACCATAAATCGTAATTTTTCATTCGATAGGTAATATTGCGATAAATTGCCACCGATAAAATCGCGATAAACAACCGATAAAATCGCTATTTATCGCGATCACTGCTACTTGGGTACAGCCGATGTAGATGCGAAATAGAAATCGTATCAAAGAACAGAGCATCTGATGAATTTACCCTTATCGCCAGCCTGCAATGTCTTCGTTAGTGGCCGACGGGGCAGCGACGACGCGACGCCCCGCGATCGCGCGATGAGCTTTTTGAGCGCGCGCGCGGACTAGCAATTACGCGCTTTGTAATAAGCGATTTCTGGTTGAACGCTTCACAGTACGGCAAAACCAACCAAATTTTCGCCATAAAGGCTCCAACTTTCTTTTTTCCATATGAACTCATAAATCATATTGCTCCAAGACCATAAATTTGACTTACGCCCTTTAGGCCACTTGCGCAACCCCTAAAATTTTTTTTCAAATTTTTTTTCAAAAAACAGTATATATTTTTACCACTAACCTCATGTTTGAAAAGAATGGGAGGTCAACATTTCGAAAATTTCAAAAATAAGAGCTACCCTAACCCCCAGTCACTTGCTCCGCGAGTGAATGTTGGCTCGCGAAGCGAGCCTGTTTTACTACTACGAGTAATTAGTGGACTTCCTGGGGGTAAAATGATAAACTCAAAAAAAAATAATAAGAAACTAATAATGATAACCACTTACTTCTAGAAAAAGAAATATCCTTGAAAAATAAAAAACACTCCTGGAAAAAAAAAATCAAAACACTTTTGAAAATTTAACGGTGCGAAAGGGTGAAGATTAATAATCGATTCTCTCGGAAGAACACATGAGCTGCTGTAAAAAGGTTAATTATTAATTAAACCTGTGCTGCCGTAAAAAGGAAAATTATCTACTGAACAATACACTTCAAAATTAAGTAATTTTCTTGTAAAATGATAACTAAAGTCAAAATCAAGAAAGCAAAACCCTAGACGCACTAATAAGAAACCTGCACGAACCGAGAACTGATTATGAGCAATGCGACTGAGAAAATGCGTAGCTGGCGTTCCGAGTCAGATGGCATATCTAAGGAAGGGAGGTATACTGCCACAGGACCCATGCCAGAGTAGAGGGGTGACACGTGTTAACGGCAGGTAGGGATAGGTTTACGTGGAGAGGGAAACGGAAAATCAGAGGGTGGAAGGTCCCCCAACCATATGACTCTTCCAGCGGCAAAGATGCAAATATTTCGTTATCAAATCGAGGTAAATTTTGCAACATAGGTCGCGAAAATCGAAAAACCAAGGGGTGCTGGTGCATCTACAGCCTAAGAGCTTTCATTTAAAACAAATCCGAGGAAAATTGGTCCAGTATTTTCCGAGACCGAATTAGGACAAACTGTCCAAAGTGAAGGAGGACAAAAAAAGCCTTAGGATATTAAATATATAGATTATATTATGTATTCTATTTATTATATCATGATTCATTATATTAATGATAAAAATTCGTAATTTTATTTAATAATTTTTATAATTACTTTCTGGTCCCATCTAAATTGAGCAACATTCTCTTGACTTTAAGCCGCAGATGTAAATGAAATTTTATTCAACGCACAGATGAGTTCGAAAGTAAAACAGTTAAAAAAGAAGTCTAAAGGAAAATTTACTTACAGAAAAAATATCAACACGAATTTCAAAAATTAATAAGGCCACAAAAGCAAGAATAAGAATATCGTCTTTGAACATAGCTATGGATCAAGACATACAATAATAAGACTCCAACCGAACGTTTCCGACTTTCTCCGAATATATACTGAAAGTTCGGTGCGTCTAACCGAATGATCGGTTTTCGTGACCTTAAAAGTTCGGTAAAATCTTACCAAACCCGGTTGGTCGTGTGTTCCAAACGCCGTAATGTCGTTTGGTTCATAAAACCCAATACTTAGGTTTGTGCCATGAACAACCGTATACCGAAGGGTTCGGTAAAAATCACCGAACTTTCTTTTTTTCAGTGTAATGATATCAGTATGTTCCCATGATGGGACCAACAGATACCAAACTTTACATCAACCCTTCATCATGGTGATAAGGAAGTCAAAATTGATATCATCATGTTACCATATTTGTGCAATGTAGGTAACAACATTTTTTAAAATCATTCTTATATCATATTGGGACTTGCCATATTGCTAGCATGTTGGTATCATGTTGGTCTTTTACCCCAAGTTGATATTACGTTGATACCATGTTGACATCATCATGATACCAACATGGGCGTTTCGGACCCTGTTGGTAACAACATGGTCTCAACATAGCACCAACACGGTCATTTTTAGCAGGGTGGTGCGTTTCTGCTATAGTACAGGCACAAGAGTACCATCCAGGTACAGGTGCTGGTACACTTGGCATCTTCTTGCCAATCGACCAATTCCATTAAAAATGGCAGGTTTGAGAAGCAAAGTCAGAGACGCAGTCTTTGTACTCAACAGTGTAGGTTTTCAAATTTTCTCGCAAAATTGTCGAAATTTTCTCGCTGACCCTCAGCCGCAATCTCGCGGCTACTCTTTGCATTCTTCAAAGATTTGAGACTCTAGTCCCAAAGATCGCAGCCAGATAATACCAATGAATCACCGTAGATGGCGCTGCGGCAGCCCATCCGGTGGAGGCAGCTTAGCGGTAGGAAGTTTTCTGGTTAGCAGTTATAAAGTCATAGAGTAAAGGTACCTTAGTGGTAGGAAGTTTTCCGGTTAGCGGTTAAAAATTCATCTGGTATAAAGGCACCTTTGGCGGTACTTTGACAATTATCAAGAAAGGACACGATACCGTCGAATAACGTTTTATTTGATGGTACCGTACCGCAAAAATACGTTTTATTTGATGGTACCGTACCGCCGAATGACGTTATACACGGCGGTACCGTGCCTCCGAATGGCGTTTTATACTTTGGTAGGTACCGTACCGCCGAATAACCACTTCGATTTCTTCATGCACAATTTTCGCAACATTTTAAATTGAAATGTGCATCTCCGTAAGTGTTAAGAACCGATCATATTAAATAGCAGTTTCCAATTTTGCTGAATTTATGTATTCTTTTTATTTTTATTATTATCACAGTCTCCATCGAGTGGGAAAGACGAATATGCGGATGCGGATAGGACGATGCCAGCCTCCGGTAGCCCAGGATTGAGCACCGTCCGAAGCGAAACACTCAGCAGATTTTTTGCGACGAGGATGAGACTAGAGCCTTTGCCAGAAGATGAAGAAGTTATCTCCACTTCCACCAACAGTTCTTCACCTGATACCAGTGCTTGCACGCAAAGTTGTCCCGCGCCGCAGGTTCTTTTTTCTCTTGTCTCTCTTAGACGCAGAGCGTGTGCTTCGTTGATCAACTGGGCAGTCGTTTTTCCAATGTATGCCAAAGCTGTGAAATTTTTAGCGGCAGATCTCTATCAAAAATAAAATTTAAGAAAGGAAAAAAATAAGAAAATGTTGAGAAAACGGCGAGCTCAACGGCGAAAAAACTGATAAGAAGTCAAGTGACTCTCGTGTATGTAGATCATACATTCAGCTCCCTTTGGCCAATCTTTAGAAAGTCGGTCACAGAAAAGGCGAAATTTCGCGGCCGCCTGACTAAGAGCTACAGCACATTAGTTTCAGCGGCAAGTTCGGATTTCAAGCAAATGAGTCGGGAACACTCCGCGGATGCTGCAACGATAGAATCAATGGATTTGATCATTAAATTTTATTCAACCTCCGACCGTTCATTGCCGCGACGTTGGAACTTCGTACTGGTGAAAATTGCGACACGTTGAGGGTCGCATTTGTAAAATTGCAAGCAAAGCGAGCGCATTCAGCATATGATAGTAGCGCCCTACCTGGGCGTCTCAAAATTGCATCAATTGAAGGCTCATTTTATAAATGCGCAAACGAAGCGAGTGCAACAGGGTGGATTTCTGTAGATTTTCATTTTGCTGTCGCCGGACAATTTCGAGCCGGTAATCTACGGAATATGTCTAACTTATTTTTTTTTACACTTTGGTAGGTCTGGGCAATCTCAAAAAAGTGTTAAATCTACTTTTAATGCCGAAGCATACTTTCGGGAATTTTTTTAATTGTATAAATGTCAACTCCGGCTAATGTCACCAGGCTACATACGAACACAAGAACTGTTCTGCTGACTTTTTGGCGGAGTCCTGCACAATTTTGATGCTTTATTTAAATTATTGAATAGATTGGGTCTACTGAAAAATTGTTCGAAAACAATTTAAAAGTCAGGGGAACGTGCACCATACATAGAAAGTCGTGTCGCCATCTTTGGTATCAACTCCGGCGGAGCTATTTTCGCGCATTCCGGAGCGAATATCTCTTCGTGCGCGCGCAGAGGTAGCCATTGTGATTGATTGTTTTCAAGTATTTGAGCTCGTAGCTGTCGGAGACACCTCTTTGATAAACATAAGTAAATTTTTTCTATATTAAATATTTAGATTTCTAAAAACGGTAATTTGAAACTGTCAACTCCATTTATATTAAAGTTTCATGTTGCGGAAATGGCGCCGAAGATTTAATCCAGTATATAATGTACCTGCACGACAGAACCTCAAAACAATTGGTTTTGTTTGTATTCTGCATCGTGGACACTTTCTTTCCTGCGAAAAACACTCAAATGTCAACTCCGGCCGCGTCAACTCCGGCAGCGTCAACTCCGGCCCAATGACGTTTAACGTTGTAAAGCTGCACTTTATTTGACATTCGTGTAATATTTTTGTTCAATTGTTTATTCCAGTTCATTTGATTTCAGTCTTTAGTTAAATATTCGTTATTTTTCAAATAACTTTGTTTTTCAAATAACTTTGTTTTGTAATTTGATCTATGTCAACTCCGACTTAGTCAATTCCGGCCCAATGACGTTTCACGTTTAACGTTGTAAAACTGAACTTTTTTGACATTCATGTAATATTTTTGTTCAATTGTTTGTTCCAGTTCATTTTATTTCAGCCTTTAGCCCTAGTCTGCCTGAGTGGGGTCAGATTGACCCCACGGGAGTTTCAACTCTTTGCCATTTCTCGTGGTATGCACGAAATTTTTTGTCCTTCACAATTAGCTCTACAAAAACATCTAGGAACACGATTTTGAAGGGGAAAGAAAAAATGTGCATGAGAGATCAAAAAATTCACGAGTACCCCTAGGAAGCCTGAGCGGGGTCAGATATCCTTATAACATATATTTTACCATTTAGCATCACAAAAGCTTACTTTGAAGGTGTATTCATTTTTCTCTTTTTAATTTTTTCAGAAACTTATAAAACAAGCAAAATTGTTCAGATTTTTTTCGTTTTCAGTATTTAGTAGCCCTATGATTTTTTTTTCTCATGCTGAGAACAACATGGCAACATGTGTATGATAAAATGGTTGCATACCCTGCGCCGTGTTTTTTAAAACTTACGATATGCTTTATGATTAAGTTCTGTAAGGTTAGTGCACTGATATTAACTAAAAACATGAAAAAAACATAGCTAACTAATTGATTTTCAGCTGGGGTCAAATTGACCCCGCTCAGGCTTTCTCGTTGGTTCAGAGGCTCAGGCAGACTAGGGTTAGTTGAATATTCGTTATTTCTTCAAATAACTTCGTTTTGTAATCTCATCTATGTTAACTCCGTACTAACCTGTCAACTCCGGCCATTGGTGGAAAAACGACTGTAAAGACTATTTTTAAACAATCAAATCGGTTTTATAAGAAGATTAGTTAAATTTAGGGTATCATTGAGAGTTTTAATGCATTTTCAGTATCTTCGATTGGTTTTTTTTTCTTAGGAGGATTAAAATAAAAGTAAGTTTTTCAGAAAATGAAGCCTTTACCGTACTGAAATTCCAAAAATGACCATTTGTAAGTAATTTTAAAGTATTATCCTTATCCGTTTTTTTATTCACTTGACTTCTCTTACTTGGGGGAGCAATAAAAAACCTTAGGTTGAAGGAAATAAGCCTTGCAAGTACTAAATCGACGGTGCAAGTCGGCAATCACATAACTCGTTTGCGGTGTCTGAAAATCTCCGCAACTATGTTATTTTTTTAAAGGAGAACAAATGGACATGATTCCTTGAAGTTTTTGCAGAATTTTCCTCTCACATAGAAGAAAAATCACGGCAGTTTTAAATAATTACCATTGAGTAGTTTTCCGTTTAAAAAATAAAGTATGACAGGAAGTCTGCGACGTCGCAAACCGAGTTATGTGATTGCCGACTTTCATACCGTCGAAATAAGAGGTGTGAAATCTGACTGGCTGGAGTTGACAAAGTAGACTTTTTTCGTCCACGTACAAGCAAAAAAAAAAAAAAAAAA